ATTTTAATACTACTTCTTATGATTATTAGGAGCGGTTGTAATCGACGGCAGCCAAACCGACACCGCAGGTATGCATCCGATTAAGATTGACACATTTGGTGTATTTAGAGCTTTTAATTAATTTGTTTGCATGGTATATTATATCTTGAACTTTTCGTATGATATGTACTAAGTTTTCATGACTTTTAGATAATAATGGTACCGACACTTCGTTTCGCATTGTCGAGAGGGACGAATGGGGTGCACAACCTGCTTCGAGACCATTAATAAAAATGAAGCTGCCAGTATCATATGTAATTATTGGTCGGTCACAAGGTACTCCGTCACATTATTGTACCACGCAATCAGAGTGTGCAACCAAAGTGAGGGCTACTCAGGCTTGGTATTTGGAAAATAACTTTGATGATATCGGCTACAGTTTCTTCGTCGGAGGCGACGGCCTTGCATATGTTGGCAGAAATTGGGATTACGTCGGTCGGCATGCCTGCTGGTATTATAACGACAAAAGTATTGGCATTTCCTTCATCGGTAAATTCACTTCAGTTGTACCGTCGAAACTACAAATACGTGCCGCGCAAAAGATCATAGAGCTCGGCGTCAAAGACGGAAAGATCACACCTGACTATAAACTGTTAGACCAACAAGTTTGGGATGCTGGAGATAACTTATATAATGAAATTATAAAGTGGCCTCATTACTCATGCGAGGATGGACCAGATGACTGCAAATCCAAGTGTCCTAAAACTGTACATTTCACTCATCATCCATCCAGACGTATCTCTCACACCGCCCGAACTGACCACACCGGTCCCATCGAAAATTCCAGACTCATCGACCGAGGGTAATTGTCTGTCTAAAAAATTTTTCGTTTGCAAGCGCGACATGAGGCAAACGTTATCTTATCACAATTGTAAACTTAAAATCTGTATCTTGCACTTTAATATTTGTATTTATTTTATTTTGGTTACTTAAAAGCGCATTTTTTTTGCTTTTCACGTGTCATATATATATTTCAAAACACTTTGCATTATGTCATATAATATATATATAAGAATAATGTTCTAGATTTTAAAGCTAAAATTGGCGTATGCATCCGATTAAGATTGACACATTCGGTGTATTAAATTAAAGAGCTTTTAATTAATTTGTTTGCATGGTATATCTTGAATCTTTCGTATGATATATGTATGTACTATATATATGTTTTCATGACTTTCAGATAATAATGGAATGGACACTTCGTTACGCTTTGTCGAGAGGGACGAATGGGATGCGGAGCCGCCTTTGGAACCTCTAACAAAAATGAAGCTGCCAGTGTCATATGTAATTATTAGTCACACTGTGACAGCATTCTGTACCACGCTACCAGAGTGTGCATTCCAAGTGAGATTTGTTCAGTACACGCATTTCAAAGATAAAAGTTTTTCGGATATCGGCTATAATTTTCTCGTCGGAGGTGACGGCTTCGCATATGTTGGCAGAAATTGGGACTACGTCGGTGCCCATGCCTGCGGTTATAACAACAGAAGCATTGGCATTTCCTTCATCGGTAATTTCAGTTCAGTTGTACCGCCGAAACTACAATTACGTGCCGCGCAAAAGATCATAGAACTCGGCGTCAAAGCCGGAAAGATCGCGCCTGACTATAAACTGTTAGGTCACCGACAAGTTAGGAGCACTGAAAGTCCTGGAGATGCCTTATATAACGAAATTATAAAATGGCCTCATTGGTCATCCGAGCCTTGACCAGATAGCTTGAAAATTTAAGGTATTGTGAATAAAATACAGTGTCTGAAAATATTTACATTTTTTTTCTTTAAATCTGTAGTTGCTACTTGTTTATGTTAGTTAGATATAATTCCAACAAATTCAGATAACAGTTAACTGAATATAAGTATCGCGGATCTACTATTTTCGTTCCGAATATAAAATCTTCTTACACTCGAATACAACGAAATATCTGACAAAAGCGGTAGTCCTTACAAATTTCGCATCAATAAATTTAATTAGATCAAGCTAATTAGTGAATAAAGGAAGGAAATGTCGTATATAAAAATATATTGTGTGGCGGAGGTATGATAATAGGCATTGTTCTGGTTGAACATTATAATAAAATTAATTGGCTGTTAAATAAATATTAGAATTGAAAATTGCTATGAAAATATATATCATGCATGATACAGGATATATATATCAGTAAAGAATGTTAAGTGGTCCATTTTAAGTCAACCACACGCATTCACTAATGTGTCCAAACACCAGATTACTATACATTCAGTAGCTTGTATAAAGAAATAAATATGCCAACGTGACAATTATACGTTATTCTATTTTATAATATACCGGATTTATCAGTAATGTTTTAGTATCTAATTTTGGGAAACATCTTGTATGTATTACTATTTAAAAAAATGTAATTTGTTGTACATTTAATGAGCCTATAATTTGTTAAATAAAGAAACATATACGTATTCAATTCCTGTACATCCTTTTTCCACTTGTCAAACATTATTTTGTACTCATCTCACAGTGGCGCGGATGGCAATCTACATATAATAGAAAATTTTAAAAATTAAAAATGCAAGAGGAAATAAGAGAAAGAAAGAAAACAATATTGTGATAAAAAAAATGAGAGGTCCAAAAAAGAGATACTGTAGAAAAAGATAGAAGAAATATTACCAGAAAGAACTACACATTAGAAGTTATGGTAAATTCTAGACAAAAAGAGGAACAAATATGATTACAGAGAAACTGAAAGGTAAGGAACAGAAAAGGACAGTTATGATTAAAAAGAAAACCTTAAAGGAGAAAAACATTGACAGTGACCTAACTTGAAAGGTAAGACAGATACAGAGGGAAATATGCTTGGTAGCAGAAGAGAAGGTAAGGGAATTAAGCGAGAGTGAAAATCAAATATATGTAAAGATTATATAAAGTACTACATAAAATATTATATAAAATATTATATAAAATACTATATAAAATACTATATGAACTATTATATCAAAGTAAAATATGTATTGACATCTCGGCATGTTAATTAAATTTATGGTCGAATTGTCACGACATTAGCCAAACGTTGTCGAATATAAAAATCGAATCTTTCTTGTTTATTTAATTATTGACGAAACAAATACATATACTTTTATGTTGAATTTAATTAAATTTATATAATCTCATTGTATCCAAAAAGAATATGGTATATTATGGTTCATTCTAGTAGATTTTTTCAAAATATGGAAAATTGTTTTAAAACATTGTCTTTCTAAATTTAATTTTAAGATA